TAAGAGATTGATTTTACAAAAAAAAAACTGGTCGTCTTTTCCGAATATCTGTTTTACTTTTGAATTTCGGACAAAATCGAAACAACGTTGTTATGTTTTTTTTTCTAAAAAAATTATGTTTTCCCGAAAAGCGATCAGAGAAATCAAATGCATATATGTAATCAACTATTTGGAAAACTCGTTTCCCTCATCGCTCTGAAGAATTTTTAAGTTTCTTCAAAATTTCCGGTTTTTTTTCGTGTTGGACCGAATATTTTCATGCAATCGTTCCTACAGAAAATGTAATAGTGAATTTTTTAGAGTTGGTGCAACCCAACGCACCAGCGCCGTAACTCAGTTCCGTTACTGGTAAAACGTTACTCATATAAAATATCGATGACCTTTTTTTAGATTGTAAAACTCCAGTCTTAAACTAGTTAAACCAGTTAAAACTTATTAACTCAGAGAGCGACGACAAGTCAAAAGCGCACTCAACAGTGATACCTAGGCCTAACCTACTCATTGAAAATGTCTCACCTTTTTTTACGTTTACGTGCTTAAATGCTACTAGCCCCGAGCCGCGTAATGCTTTAACCCGACCCTGCTTTAAATGCTGAGTTATAACTCATCAGCTAATGAGCTATAACTCATTAACTCACAGACCGACATTAATTCAATAGTGCAACTCAGCACAGTGTTACCCAGGCCTAACTAATGCTATACCATATACCTAATACTATTTGTTTGTTTCTAACCGTCTTTCTCGTCACCTTACTCTGCTGTAAATCGAATAATGCGTACTGATAATACTTATTGCCTTTCATTTATCTACTTTTTCGCTTCTGTCACTGTGATAATGTGAAAAACATATCCGACAGTGAAATGAATGCGCAATGTTTTAGAAATTTGATAGAAATAGAATTTTCAATAAAGAAACATTTTCAAAAATCGGCTTCTCACTTTCTATGGCATCTAATTTATATTTTTCTTTGTCGAACCTGATATATCATATCTTGAGATGCATTCTTGCCTAACGACATAAGGAAGTATCCTCAAGCGTAGCTCTGTTGTACCCGCTAAAATTAAAAATCTTTGGAACTTTTGAAATATCTTGTCATTTAACGAAGTTACCGGCAAATGCGTGGCGGTATTCAGGATTCATTATCGCCCAAACCATTGACAATGTCGATTTTTCAAAGCAGCTGAACTCTAGAGATTATCCGTGGCAGCCCAGGGCATTTTTTGTTTTTGAAATATTGACAACAGTTGCGGAGTTATGGGCAAATAAGTGTGCAAACAATGTGGGCGGCAGTTAAAGTTTCTAACTCCAAAGTCCATTTTCAGAAATGGGTATTTCGAACTCGACTTCGTCTCTGGTGTCAAACGCCGTCGTTCGAAAAACGACACTCTGCCCTTGTATCGAAAACTACTATTATCTTACAAACTGCGTATGCCTCGTTAGAATAACGCTTAACTCATACGATAAAAGTTGAAAGCTGGCAACTTTCTTAAGAGTTAGGCATTATTCGGTTTATAAACACCTCAATGGACTGGTGCGCAACAAACTTTTAAGATACCCTTAATCCACAGCACTCTCTAGCTAAACCCGCGGAGCACGGCTACGCCAAGAGTACGGCACACGCGCGGATTACTTGACGCTTAATTAACCGCACTTTAACTTAACCGCTCACATGAGTCCATCCTACCCTAGCATTTAATTAACATAACTCACAGGACGGCAATTCTGGTCCTTCACGCCAACAATGAGCGCCTCGCGACACTGTCGAACAGCACTCCAGACAGTCACAGAAGAGAGGAGCTAAACTCTCAAGCCCCTTATTCTAAACCTCTGCAAGTGAGCACAGAAGTTTCTGTGTCCAAATGCAAGCTGCAGTGCCTGTTTATTCAAGCCCACCATACCCTTTCACTCACCCATAACCCAGGATTGTCCCAGCGGGTGTCACCCAGAGTGCGCAGATGGCTCAACTCGTCGGCGACTTTTGGCGACCGCACCTACGGAGCCCCTATGCGCGTCCCCACTTCATCTCGTGCAACGCCCTCCACAGACCGTGATTCAGAACCATTAAGAGTCCGTCCGCACTACCGCACATTTACCTGTTTTACACAGACCGCAACTGTCTCCCCACTGTGATTTTCTGGAGTACATCGGTTTTAAATTCAACGGTTTGTTTCAAATTAGTCATTAACTAGCTGAACGCTCTTTGTCTCGCTTCTGGGTATTTGTCCAATCAGGCACTCTAGTACATGGGAGTGTCCGTTGGACCATATTTCCCACAGAAGGAAATTCATTGATATACACTCTTTAGAGGCACGTTTAGTGGTTGTTTGATAGCTCGTTTCTCCCAGTCAACTAGCTTGGTATTATTAACGGTTTCTAATATGTTCCATACTAGGCCTGGGTAACTCAGTGCATTTTGGAGTTGGCGCAGTGCTGCGCAAATTGCTTGGTTCGCCACCCCAACGCACCGGCGCAGTAACTCAGTTTCGTTGCTGGGAAAATGCTGACTTTTTTTAGATTTATTTTAAAGACTATTTATTAATAATATTTTTAAAATGTATCAAAATTTCGGAATTTTTCAGTTTTAGCCAAGTTACCCTTTCTTCTAAACGCTCAATTTTCTAAAGTTCACTTAAAAATGATGACAATTTTTCAGATTATGAAATAAATTTCGATTCTTTCGTCGCTTTGTAGAAAGTTTTGAAATCCATTTCCAGCTTCGAATTTGGAACAAAAATCAAACAATATTCTATCAAAAATCGAACAGAATAAGCGAAAGTTTATCGCAGATTATGTCGAAATCTCGTCACCTCCATTCCTCTGAAGACTGTCCACCATTCCTCTGAAGAATTTGTTAAAAAATGTGGTCTTTAGTTTTGACTGTTTTTTCTGTTTTACTTTCTACTCAAAAACGCTCTATTTTATTTTCACTTAAAATTACTGACGATCTGGAGAAGTTTTATGCGAAAAATTACCAGATAAATTTATAGCTTTGCAAAAAAATTTACAAAAACTTTCCAGTGTCGGATTCGGGACAAAAACGAAAATAAATTCCTTTTTTTTTCGAAAACCATTAAGGCTTCCTCCAAAACTAAGTTTTAAATCGAAAACGCAATAAAGCATTATTTTCTGATGATTTTCTTCTTTTTTGACAATAATGGGGTCTTTTCAGCCAAAAATGACATAAATAATTCTCCTACAAAATTTGCCTCATTCAACGGTTTGCAGGGAACTTTAGAAAACCCATTTCAGCTTCGAATTTGACACAAAAACCAAATAATTTTATTCAGTTTTTTTACCGAAAGTAATTAGGACTATCTTGAAAAAAAAACGACCAGAGAGCAAAAGTTTACAAAAAATTATTGACAAAATTCGCCGTCGTCATTTCTAAAGTTCCTTAAAATTTTCTATTAAGCAATTCTTTCTACGCAAAAATCGCACTTTTTTTTTGTTTTACTTAAAATACTGGCAATCTTCAGGTATTTTCCGTGAAAAATTATAAGATAAATTTTATTGGAACACTCCTCTTTAACCCCTTTGGAAAACTTTTTGCAACTTCGAATTATAGACAAAACCCTAATAATTATTTCTAGTCATTTTAAAAAAAATATGTTCCGAATTGAAAAAGCTAAAGTTTGTAGTCATTTATTTGGAAAACCCTTGGAAACTGGAGTTTCTTCACTTTTAGGTCAATATTTCTAAACAGAAAAACCGAGTTTTTCCTAACGTTTTACTGTAAAATACTGGTAAACTGAGTCTTTTATGCAAAAAAATTAAGAGATCGATTTTACAAGAAAACTCGCCCACTTTCTTTGGACTCAGTTGCTGGGAAAATCTGGATTACTTTTTTTAAATTGTTTGAACAAAGTAGTAAAACGTTACTCAGAAAAAATGTTAATAACCTTTTCTTAGATGTGAAAATTTTAGTCTCGGTTCTGTTAAAGCTTTAACAAATGACTTATAACTCATTAACCGATGAGTTATAACTCGTTAGCCAGAGGGCGGCAACAACTCAATAGCGCAACTCAACAGTGTTACCCAGGCCTATTCCATACTGGACCATCTCGTCTTAAGCATGCTTACGATAGTTTTTGGCACTGCTCATTTACTGAGCATTTATAAATCAACAACAAACAGTATTTTGGTCTGTCCGCATTTGTATGGATTTAATTAGTTCTCGTATATCCATGCTGCCATAAGGACTGGTTTACCTGTACTTGATGGATAGTATACTATCCATCATTGTTTAGGTTATTGTCTGTGTGCCATTCGCTACTTTAATATCAAAATAAAATGCAAAGTAAATGAATCTCATTTGATTTGTAATTAATATTTCATGTAGTGCAGTTTTTGTGGGTAATAATATTTTCACTGCTTCATCCCCCTCGCATCTTACGCGGTTATACATAAACCTTATAGCAATTCAGTTAATTTGATTTAATATTGGCACTATTGTGATATAACGAAGTAATATTCCTGTGACTAGTTCTTTTTTCATAAAATTCTGCGTTTACTTGTAACGTGTACAATGAATAAACTGTAAAATCTATTGTTTCCTTTTATTTCGATCCTACTTTCTGCACTTATTATGTAGATTTCCAACATATGCAGTTCGCATTGAACGGTCTCACAGACAGCTTCACTAGCGCATTAGAGTAAGTAAAATTTGCTCTATGTTCACTAGCCACCGGTTCGAACACCCATTTCAAGCTCAAACTTCAATGGCTGGCACAAATCAGGATTTCGTGGGATTTTCATGCAAATTTCAGCGTTGTTGAACTGTCTTAATGACTAGGAAAGTTTTCAAGTTGTTACTTGCCCTGGTGGCAGAGTTAGTTCGAGCCCCAACCCAAACTTTACTCGGCTGGCAAAAATCAGTATTTTGTGGAACTTTCATGAAAATTTCAACGTTTGGACAGTGAACTGTCTTTTAAGAACTTTTCTGTCTTTTAAGAAAGTTTCTGTGTAAAATCTCAACTCCATGTTAAGCCAAAAAAATTAATTTAGTTTCTACATTTATTCTTCGAATACACAATTAATTCATCACATTAATTCTAGAAAACTCACTTTAATCAAATAGTTCAAATTACAAGGGAATACTTATCAAAACGATTTTTTTGCTTTTCTTTTCCTCTTTGAAATTCTTGAATTATATGTAGATTTAACTTTTGGTCATCCATTAAATTCCAGTTTTGCCACAACGTCACGAACTGTTTGCAACAGTTTGGTATCTTGGCTTCGATTTTCTAGTAGCATTGAATGTAGATTTGCCATATACACATCAATGTTTTGCATAGTTGCAGCATCCTTGATACCTGGAAAACAAAAAAAAAACGTCATGAGTTTCAAGTTCATTTTCGAATTTTCTTTATCTTTAGTAGGTAGAGGACTTGAAATAAATATTTACAATAAATACAATACTTATTGTAAAGATTGCTGTTATTTTAAAACAAATTCTTATGATTTTGCTTGATTAATAACCTGGCAGTTTTACTCCTTCAAATCCAGTTGATAACGTCGTTCTCAGATGATCCAGATGTTGCTGCAGAGAAGAATTCGTTTTTTCTTGTTGCATGATTTCCGTTTCCAATTTTGTTATCGCCGACTTCATGTTGTCAATGTGCTTCGTCAGGCTGGCGTTTTGCTGCTCATAATCGGTGTTTACTTTTCGTAATTGTCTAGCAAAATTAATAAGAAGTTAGAATATATTACGTATTTGTTGGGGATTTTGCCTGAAATGTTTACAAAAATGTTAAGTACAAAAATTAACGATAGATTCGACGATTAACGAGATATTAACGTCTAGTTTACGGGAGTTTTCCTCCCAAAACCTTTATCTTCATGGTGCGGTGATTGCTCCACTTTTCGATAAAACCTTTTTCTTTATGGT